CTCTTGCCTGGCTCCTTGGCGCCCCGGACGAGACCATCTACTCACCAGCTCATCTTCCGACGGTACCCATCACGGTTGTCCTGTTGTCCTATCTTTCGCCACTCCCAGCACCGTAAACCCGCCAACCACGTGGCCTCAGAGACCGGCTACACAAAACACATCTCAACTCCCGACCTCTGGCTTCGGCGGCTTGATCCCTGTTTCATAGACGCCAGTTCCACGACACGTCCCATTGTCGGCAACATCCGGACACCCGAACAGAAGACATTCCACAAGAGCCCTTGGAGTGTGTTGAACTCTGCGCACCCACAACTCGAAGCCGACAAACTCAAATCGGCGCCCAGTTTACACGGCAAACGAATGTACAGTCAAGTCCGCATGCACACATACACACCGATAGACACACGAGCATAGGTACAGCCTACACATACAGACACACATACACTTAGGAGAGCATAGATCATCTTAAGTGCTGACAAACAGCAGTTGCAATATGAGCAACGCAAGTATCCAGGCCGCCGGAACGAGAATTAGCAACTCCAGCACTTACGATGCGATATACATCGTGATTCCAACGCCAAACTGTGTAACCATGGTGACCGGCAACATACAGTCGACCTTCCCGAACATCAGCAACACTGATATGCTGCTGGTGCTAATTTTGTTCAGCGTCATCATCCTGTTTCTCACGCATTTGGCCAATTGGATTCGACGTTACGTCTACCGGGAGAAGGTGAGCATACCCTTTTTGAGGCCAGGACGCAGGACCGACTGTACTCCATGTCTTTCTGCCAATGTGATCAAGTTGCGAAAACAAGATCAAACGAATTCTATATTTAATTTTTGTTCATAATTAGGTTCTTGAGACTAACATTTCATTTAATTGAGGCTAAATTCAACTTTCGGTCTCCTTAATATCTTAAACGAAATACGGTGAATAAGCCTTATATCATAAAGAGGGCCTATTCCCTAAAATCGGACATCAAAAAAATTAGACAAGGCTTTACTTTAGAAAAATTCTTGCTTTTATTATAGAATTATAACTTTTAGGTTATTTTGCTTCTATGCAAAGTAAGCACTGTCGAGTTTGCAGACATATGTATGATATCGACATTGAAAATTGTACTTATTGTCAAAGTAAATCATTTTAGAGATTCACTACTTCTTGAATAAGTTTATCCTGTATTTTTATAACCCTTTGAAGACATATTGCGCCCTCGGGATTGCTTAGTTCTTCATATTTTGACACTGCCTAGTTCGAGTCCCTCCTTCACTATTTTGTAAATACCAATAATCTGCTGAGATACGATTGATGTGAAGGCTTTCATTTCATATGAAAGCACATGAGGAAGAGGTTCTTAGATCAATCTCACCAGAAAATATCGTCTGATTAGCGTTGCAATGTAGTCTTTTGGCCTTAATACAACGTTCAGGTTGACACAGTCCGCGAGACTTCCTCCAGCGTACGTATGGTTCACATTCTTGTCGTTTGTCTTCCCGATACACTAAAGCCAGGAAACGACTTTTTCGGCAAATCAAGACTTTGTATTTTCTAAATGTTGTTTCCTTGTTGGGCGTAATGATTTACCTATTTCTACCAACAAGGAACTGGATGCGATATCGAATGGTTTGGTTAAAACCAGGCTTAAGAAAGCACTATCAAGTTACAGGATTTGGTCAGAACCAAGACAAATCCTTTCTTAGATTCTGAATGAGGAAGACTTTCTTAAGTAACAAACCATGGCTGATGGTTTGTGCGAAGCAATCCGTAAGATGGCTAGGAGGGTTCATGATAAGAAGCTAAAAAGTCTGGGTATTAGGGTCCGTTCAAAGGACCTTGTATCGAAGGCAGAGATTAATAATGATCGATCCGACGAATTTTGCACAGATAATATAATTAATTTATCCAATAAATAGCTGGAGGATGTAGTGAAACTTCTACTGGAAGGAGGATTATATTTTGCACTACTGAATGAGGCATACTACTATCTGGAAATAGTGGCTGAGCTAATTAGCTTATCAGATAGAGCACCTGAACACGTAGATTTAGTTTGGAATAATCTAATTGTTATGAAAGCAGACAAAGGTGGAGCAGTGGGAGACTTGGAAAGGTCAAGTTATCAAGAGGGTATTCTTCTGCATTTAAATGAAATTGATACGTATAAACCTTTAAGGAAATATCTTTTATAGAGACTTGAAGCCAGGCGAAAAGATGCTTCCAAGGTATGCGTAAGTATTGTGGAAATGGAGAAGTGGAAAATGAATTTCTTACTCCAAAGAGGTGCTAGCATGTCCTCTGATTATGGCCATTTAAAGAGGCATAAAGAAGGGTTTCCCTTTAGATTGATTGTTAAAAATAAGGTTGGTGTTAGCTTAACATCACATGTTTTTTATGCAGACACTTAAGAATGGTGACTGAATTTAGGCTATTTTCGGTAAAATAACTCTTATTAATTTGTTAAACCAGTGTATCGGCATAATATGTCAGATTAAGATACTTTGGTAAGTTTTGACGTGGTATTGATGTACACAAATATTCCAGCATAAAGAGACATTAAGGCTCGAATGCTCAACCTGGAGGAGCATTCAGAGATTACGGAGGAAATTAAGTTGAGTATGGCTCTGTTCTAAGGCTCTTTAATCTATCCTTGAGTAGTACATATTTCACCTTCGACGGTAAGTTGTATAAACAGACACAAGGACTTACAATGGGCTGTTGATTACTCCAATTTTTTCGAATAACTGTACGGCTAAGTCTGAGAAACGCAAAATGCAAGATGTAATTCTGATCCCCAAATTATTTTTTAGATATATGCATGATTATTTCGTGATATTGCAGCATGGTAGAGGCAGTTTAGATTCTTTCCTAGCTTCCCTTAGTCAGCGTGAAAGAAATAGTAAATTCACAATGGATCTAGAAGAACATAGGAAATTACTCTTTTTGGATGTTATGGTAGGCTAGGCAGAGTTGTTTATAGGAAACCAGCATAGTATGGTTTAGTTATTAACTTTCTTTATAACCATAGTTACAAAACTAAGAATATAATTTACAAATCTATGCTCATTTGGAGTATGAAGCTTGTAATTGAAAATCATCTGACCGAAGAGTGAAGAATACTGAAAGTGTTACTCATAAAGAATAATTATCCTTTGTGCTGTATTGATAATAATATATCCTTAATGAGGAAAACATGTTCAGGCAGAGACTATTTGGTCGGAGGCAAGCAAGACAAGACTATTTTTTATGTTTTCTTTTCGAGAAGATAGGGGAATTAGTGAGGAAGTGGGGGTATAAAGAGAGTTTTCAAAGAAATTCTGACCCTTCCTTTGGTCATAGTCACCATCAAAATTCGTCTGTTTCAAGATTATGTACTTCTGTGGTCGAACTTTTGTTGGCGAGACCAGTCGAGCGATCCGTCGAACATGAGTGAAGCACAAAAATGCTTGTAAAGGGAGATGGGTCGGAGAGTGGACATTTGAAGAAATGCTCTCGGACGCAGAGGTTGGCTGATTCTGGTTTGTCCGCGACGCAACGCAAGCCAAGAGAGGATATTGAAATGGGTAGATTAGGGAACATGTTGAATGGTAGGAATGGGGGTAGGAAGTTGAGTAAGAATCAGTTATAAAAGTTGTTTGATCTTGTTTTCGCAACTTGGTCATAATGGTAGGAAGACTGATAGAAACACACCTTGTCCTAAGTCCATTGTATGCATAATTATTCCCAGAGTCGGACCGTGGACGTGGTACATTCCCAAATGTACCACGTCCACGGTCCGACTATACAATGAAAGGAGACTGCGACCACACAAAAGGCCGCACCATTTTGGTCTTCCTATCTTCAAGAATCAGTTATGCTTGTTTGAAAGATTGAAAGAGAGAGAGGAGAGAGAGAGGCGGATGGTTCTAACCAAACTAGCAATGGTTCAAAGGGCATGTCAAACGGGTCTACGCAATCCCAGCCGAGCTTATCCTTGGGTCACTAAACCTTAATAACCCATTTTTCGTATGTAAGTAGAGTTTCGTGACTAGCAGTAGATCAGTAGTATGTGTTGTGCTCACCCTATCTTGTTTAAGCTGATCAAGAAGTGGTAGTAGAACTTTTACACAATGAAATGAATAAAGCTGACGTTTCCATTCAATTGCACAGAGCCTTGCTTTCCCAAAAGTTTGTCTCAGTTTCAAGCTGGTCGTTTGGTAACCTGACTTTCACGTGTACACACTTACATCTCATCAATTCGACCAGGTTCACTTACGGACTAACGCAATTTCGGTCATCCTTTTTTATTTTCCTTTTGCTTGGGTCATTTAGCCTTGACGACTCGGAGCTGATGTTAAGATTTTCTCTAATCACTCTGAGTTGTGATTTGTTTCGCCTACAGACATTAGTGTACATACACACACAGACACACTAGAGTGTACGTGAATTAACCACACCTTTCTGTATCCATTTATATCTTAACTTTTGCTCGCGTTGAGTATGTATGTCATGTAGAAAAATAGCAGGTTAGTCTTCTTGAAGGAGTGTCAACTTGAGGCAATTTCAAGAATGAATCCCAGCTCTGACGATGTTCGTCATGTGGCACGACGAACGAAAGCTCAATCCGTCTTCGCCAGAAACGTTGGAGAAGGTCTCGTAACCGCAGCGCAACCCGAATCAGCCGCCATCTTCTGGCGAGAAAGACCGACGAATCCCTTCAACATGTACTTCCACACGAAATAAAATTCTTCACATAAATTCATAATTTTGACCGACCTGTTCGTGCACATGGTACCTTTTCATTTGCAGCCTCAGTATCTAGTTCTATCTCACTCTTTCCCATGCATTCAGCCAGTACAGGAGTTCTCCCTCTTGCTCCTCTTTTTCTTTTCCGTCATACAAAAAACCGGTCAGGCCACTTTGGAGAATGTGTTAACTGGCGGTGGCGAGCTGGGAATGGGCATGTTAGCCGCGCGAGTCGCCACCATATCCACGTGGGCATCCACATTCCTGGCTAGTTCCGGATTCGCGGTTCAGGTTAGTGAACTGATGTCCACAACACATGCCTTCAGATATCATCCCATTTCATCCCATTTCAAATATATATATATATATATATATATATATAGTTTTATAAAATTTTAGATAGT